ATGCCGACATCCTTTTGTCTCTGGTTGCAAATTCACCTGTTGACTGGTTAACAATAAGTTGTGAATCACAAAAAACTATTACCTCATCTGCTTCTGCTGCTGCTGCCAGTTTTAGCCCTGCAATTAATGCTTCGTATTCCGCTTCATTGTTTGAGGCCTTGAACCCTAAATAGATGGATTGTTCTATTATTTTTCCATCTGGAGATACCAGCAGTACTCCTGCCCTTGTTCCTTGTCGGTTTGAACTTCTATCGACAAACAGTCTGAATGAGTTGCCGATGTAGATGCTGCAGGGTCTGAGTTTTTCCTTCCTTTGCTCTTTGGTCTTTGGCTGAGATTCTCCTTGCTTACTGGGACAATGCTCATCCTGGCTCAACGGAGCCCGATGTTCGGTGGTTTCGGGTGTGAATTCTGCCACGAAATCGGCCAAAACTTGGCCTTTAATCGCTGTTCTCGGCCTGAACTCCAGATCATACTGGCTTAGGGCTACGACCCATCTTGCTATCCTTCCTGTTCAGTCTCGTTGCTGTAATAAGGACTTCAATGGATGCTCTGTCAAGACCACAATTTTATGCGCCTGAAAGTAATGGTTCAACTTCTTTGAAGCCATTACTAAGGCTAGCATTAATTTCTCTAGTGGTAAATACCTTAGTTCTGCACTAGCTAGAGTTTTGCTTACATAGTAAACAGCCTTTTGCTCCCCTTTTTCTTCTCGGATTAGTATTGCACTGACTGCGTGCTCTGAAACTGCCAAGTACAAATATAGTTTTTCCCCTGGTTCTAGATTGGAAAGAACTGGAGTTGTGGTCAAGTACTTCTTCAGGTCGGTTAAAGCGGCTTTGCATTCTTTTGTCCACAGAAAGTCTGTGGCTTTTTTTACCAAGTTGAAGAAGAGTCTGCACTTATTTGAGCTCTTGCTGATGAATCTGTTTAGGGCTGCGGCCCTTCCAGTAAGCATTTGAACCTGTTTCGCTGACGTTGGGCTCTTCAGCTCTAGGATGGCCTTGATTTGGTCGGGGCTGGCCTCAATGCCTTTTCTTGTTACCAGATACCCTAAAAACTTACCTGATCCAACTCCAAACGCGCACTTTGATGCATTGAGTCGGAGCCGGTATGTTTTAAGTATATCAAAGACTTCTTTTAGGTCGGCAAGATGACCCTTAGATTCCTTGGTTTTCACGACCATGTCATCGATGTAGACTTCTACCGTTTTGCCAATTAGGTGCTTGAACATTTTTGTTACTAACCTTTGGTAAGTTGCTCCTGCGTTTTTCAACCCAAAAGGCATTACCTTGTAACAGTAGAGGCCTTTAGGGGTGATGAACGCGGTTTTCTCCTCGTCTGGAGGGTACATGGCGATCTGGTGGTACCCCCTGTATGCATCCAAAAAACTCATCCTTTCGTGCCCTGAAGTTGCATCTACTAGCTGGTCAATCTTGGGCAGAGGAAAGCTGTCTTTGGGGCAGGCTTTGTTGAGGCTAGTAAAGTCTACACAGACCCTCCATTTGCCGTTCTTCTTTTTCACTACTACTGTGTTGGACAGCCATGTCGGGTAGTGAACTTCTCGGATGGCCCTGGCCTCCAGAAGTTTGTGTACTTCTTCTTCTACTGCTTCGACGTGCATCAACATCGGTTTTCTGGCTCGTTGAATCACAGGTTTTGCCGACCTGTCGACATTCAGTCTGTGGCAAGTGACCTCGGGGTCAATGCCAGGCATTTCGTAAGGTGTCCAGGCGAACACCTCGATGTTGGCTCTTAAAAAATCTTCCAGTTCTCTTTCCTCTTCCTCGGTTAAGCCTGAACCGAGAAGAAAGAAGCGTTCTTCGTCACCCTCCTAGACAAGGATTTTCTTTAGTGTCTCTTTACTCTTTTCGGTTGGCTCCTTTCCGACATCTTCTAGGACCTCCATGTCCTCGTCTTCAATCTCTGCCTCTTTTGGCTTTCGAATGTTGCAAGTGGTCTTCATTGCTGCCATGGAGCAAGTTTTTGCCTGCAGTTGATCTCCTCTAACTTCTTCAATTCCATGCTCTGTTGGGAACCGTAGTAGTTGATGCAGTGTTGAGGGAATTGCCCCCATTGCATGCAACCATGGTCTTCCCAAGATGATGTTATATGGCGAGGGTGTGTCAATCACCATAAATTCTGTCTTGATCTTCTTAGTACCAGCTTGTACTTCCACGCTTGCTGCGCCCAGTGGCCATGTCGGCGTTCCATTGAAGTCGACCATAGGGTTGCTAGATTGTTCCAGGTCGTCAGGGTGAAGGCCCAACTCCTTGTAACATCTGATGTACATGATGTCACAAGAGCTGCCTTGATCTATCAGGATGTGTTTCACTTGGCATTCCCTAACTTGGAGGGATACTACCAAGGCATCATTATGCGGATGTTGAACCAACTCCAGGTCGGCTTCAGTGAAAGTTATCATCGGTCCTTGGCATTCTTCAGGTCGAGGTCTTTTGTATCCGACCTGGTTCACGTGCTACAGGTGTTTTACTCTTTGGGTTTCTCCCCGAATGTCGCTGTCATTCACCTTTGAGTGGATTACATTAACCACCCGTGGTCCTCCTGCCTGTGGTTGCTGTGCTGGGGGAGGCGGTGCTGCTGGTGCTTGAGGCAATCTTGCCTGTTCTTATCTTGTTCTGGCCTCATCAACAAGGTCCCTCAGATGGCCTTGCCTTACTAGGTCTTCTAAGTGTGCTTTTAAGGCTCTGCAACCTTGAGTTGGGTGTCCTTCTTCATTATGGTAAGCATAGCGCCTACCAACGTTTCTTCCCATAAATTCCCCTGGTGCTCTTGCTGAAGTTCTGAAATAGGGTTGGTTTCGTATTTGGTTCAGGACTTTATGGATAGGGATTCGGAACACCGTCGTCACTGCCTGTTTACCCTTCAATTCTGTTTCTTGTTTGGTCGGTCCGTTGTTACCTCGGCCTCGCTTCGGCGAGCCGTTTCCTTTCTCCTGCTTTATTTATTTGTTTCCCGATGTATCTTCCTTGGCTTTGGCGTACTTCTCGATTCTTGCCATGAGTTCTTCCATGCTTTTTGGTAGTGTTTTTGCCAAAGACTTCCGTAGTAGGCAGTCATCTTTCAGGCCGTTTTTGAAAGACACGACCGCCATTTCTTGGTTGTATTCGGGTATTCGATTGAATACCTCGTAGTACCTTTTCGCGTAAGCCCTAAGGCCTTCTTCCTTGGTGATTCTTAGAGCCATCAGGGCGTCGACCCTCAAGGGCTGTAGTTTGTTCGTCACAAACCTGGCCACAAACATCTCGGCCAGGCCTTCCCATGTCTTTACGCTTCTCTTTGGTAGTTTATGGAACCAATCAGATGCAATTTTCCCAAAGGATGAAGGAAATACTTTGCAGAGCAACGACTCGTTCCCACTGTATAATGCCATTGAGTTCAGGTATAGTCCAACATGAAAGTTGAGACCTGACTTACCATCATAAATTTGGAACCTTGGCATACTGAATCTCTTTGGTGTTTCAAATCTGTCCAGTTCTACCGAGAACGGTGTTCTCGGCTTAACTGGGGATGTCACCTCAGCTTCAACATTCTGCTGCCTCCTTTTGAGGTAATCCCTCAAGTCTTCCTTACTTCTACCTGGAGCTCGGCTATCTCTAGACTTCAATCTTTTTGGCACACTACTTTCGGCCTTGTGGTGGGCCCGTTTCGATTTTTCTCCATGGGTTGTGTCAAAGCAGAGTGCCTGCCCTTGAACATGCCGATGTTCTTTATGCCCTGGATCCTTCATTCGATGTGTCCTTTGGGACTCTTCTTGCCTCGGCTCCTCTCGTCCGATTTCCCTGGAAGGTTAGTGTGAGTGCCTTCCACTCCTGGTATGCTGAGGGGCTTTGGGGATTGCTTTCCTTCCTCCCTTCTGGGTGTTAATTGCCGGCATCGGGGTATCTTGCAGCGGGTATGGTGGCTGCATAACATTGTTTTGCATCATGAAGTTAACCACTGACTGTAGGTCTGCCAACTTGTTTGCCAAGTCTTTTACTTCATCATCTCTCCGTAGGCACCTATCCCTCCACATCTAAAGGTTATCTTCGTTATAATACTTGCTTTGGTTTGTTCGCTTCGAAGTACCGCCCTCCTGGCCAACGTCTTTCTCTCCGTGACCCTGGTCATGATTTTCTGTACTGTGGTTGTCTCCTTCAACGTCAAGATCAATTGGTCTGCCACTCTTAGCAGGAGTGTCGCCCCCAATGTTTTCCCTCTGTCCGTCACTGGCCATCTATTCTTCTAAGATTCCCACAGACGGTGCCAAATTGTGTGGGTGACGTCACTGGCCATCTATTCTTCTAAGATTCCCACAGACGGCGCCAAATTGTGTGGGTAATTTTCTGACCACACTGCTCGCCTAGTAATCAGCTGGAGAGCACCGGCAGAATAGATGGCTTCAGCAAACCTGTAACAGAAAGAAAAGGCTCCGGCGGTGGCTCTTCCACCCGGGGGCATTCAGACGATCAAGTCAGTATATCTCTCAAAGATAATCAAGTGCTAAACTCACAAGTTTGAGTATAAAACTGCGTACCTTAGACCCATGGGGGTGCCTCTCTTTTATAGTTTACTAAATCCAAGTCCCACTAGAAGTCTGACTTCTATGGACTCCAATTCAATGTCAACTTTGGACTCTTCAAGAGATATAGATAAACTCCCTAAGAGCTTTACCCTTATCTTAGCAAAGTCTTCTCTTTACTCTAGGACTCTTGTCCCTTATCCGCTTATCTCGGATTCCGATATCTTCGGAGATCACCTCGGCCTTGCCTAGGTAACCTCGGCATAACTACCAGGACACGTGGCACCTCTGCTGACACGTCGGCATCACCATGCCACGTGTTGGTATACAGAAAATACATCCCCACACATACTTATCCTAAACTACACAGACTCTCTTGAGGTGAGAGAGAGCTCATCACATGACTTTTCACTCAACCCATATCATCATTATTATATCAGAGAGTGGAGTTCAAAAACTAAACCTCAGTTGTACATGCATGGAAAGTCCTGTTTGGAATTGGCAAAAAAAGGTTAAGAAAGGTTTCGATATTCCTGGTGAAAGTGAGATTTTTTTACCAAACTCTCTAAAAAAAGGTGAAAAAAGGTTAAGACGTTGTGGCTAGCTCTAATACCATAAGACAAAAATTATAAAATAAAACACACATTTAAAAATCAATTTACAAATGGGAGGTATTTGAATGATTTATATTTACATGGCCAAACTTATTGTTAAAAAAAAGGTGTGAAATCATAATCTTGAAATTCATCAACTACTTGGCGTACATATTCAAGACCTTAAACCTTGTAGCGGTTTTTTTTAACTCTCCCAACACTACATTCATCTTGGATGAGTCATGTTTTATTAAGATAATGTTTGTTTTGCCATAAGAATTTTAGACACAAATCAACTTTGAAAAATCTAGAAATCCCTTAGATGTTGATTTGTGATTATGTATCAATTTTAAGCAGAATATAACAATCCCAATCAAATAATCAAGACAAAGAGACACAATGATTTTACGTGGAAAAAATCACAATTGGACACCTCCAACTGTGATCGAAAAACCATGGGCAACAGCCACAAAACAATCCACTAAGAAGATTTAAAGGAATTACACAGGTATACTCTCAATTACCTAGCGAATCCACGCCTAATTGAACCAACCTCTATGTGCCTCTTCCAACCCGTCTTCACCTCGGAATTGTCTTTACAATGAGCCACTCCAGAATCCACCGAAGCTTCAGGCTCGAATTCTTCAGAATCCACCGAAGAACAACTCTTTCTCTCTCTCTCTTGTGTATAACAAACAAAACCTTTGATGTACTCTCTTTAAAACATGAGTTGAATACTCAATCAAAACATCAAAGAAAACTAACAAAATATCCCCAGATATAAACCTTAAGAACCAAAAAGAAGATCTGGAGGAATTCAGGAGTAGTCTAGTTTTTGGGAGAAAATGAACTACTTATAGAACAACCAAAAGTAATCCTAGATTTGGAAGAAAACCCAATCGTTATTGAAATCCGAAAAACTGTGTTCGCGCGGTCCGCTCGAGCGCCCAACATCCCGCTCGAGCGTCTTCAATAAAATCTGCGTGTGATATAACAGGGGTCCGCTCGAGCGCTGGAGAACCCGCTCGAGCGCGAAATCACACCTTCCAGTATTTTTACAGACCTGACAAACTGCTGGAACCAGGGATTCTCCGCTCGAGCGGGGGAATGTCCGCTCGAGCGGACAGGCAGTTCGATCCTCGTCATAATCAGCGAAGTGACAATCTTGAAAGTATTAGCATCACAAACTTCTCTGAAAGGCACAATTCGGGTTGGATTCGCATCTAAACACTCATAGCCTCACTGAAATAAAAGTGCGAAAATAAATACAACTGAAAGGAGTTTTGTCAAACGGGGTTGCCAAGAATAAAATCTAACAAACTTTTAAATTAATGAATGATTATTTCATTTTCAATGTGTTTTTTTTTTCTTTACAAAATTAAACATAAGAATGTGTATTTCAACCCAATAACCATTCTAATCATCGTCTTATTCTAATTAATGAATGTCGTTATTGAATTCAGTGTATTTTTTATTAATTTTTTAATGTTTGTAACATCACAATTTCTTCTCTCCCTTTGTTTCTTCCTAGTGGAGGAGTAAGAACTTTATTAACCTAACAGTAATAATAAAGGCAACCTAGCTAAGTGAACAAACCATACATAAAAACTAAAAAAAAAAAAAAAATCTTCACAAGCCACACCTTAATTATATTCAGCTTGTTTAGTTTGAATTTTCGTACTTTTTAGAAAATTACTTTTTTATTATTTTTTATGTTTTTTCTGTTTTTATTAATTTTTTTAATATTCTAAGCCATTTTTTAATTTTTTAATATACTTAACATAAATACACTAAAAAAGTATAATATTTTTAAAAAAAATCTTTAAAAAATTCACTAAATACTATATAAAAAAAAAAGAATAAGAGAATTTAAAAAAAGCCACTCTTTAAGAAATCTAAAAAAAAAGTTTGTATACCCCACAAAAAAATATTTGTTATGTACGTGGCGAAAAAAAAAATGTGGAGAAAAGTAAAAAGGACCGACCCGCCGCAGTTTGTGAAGGAGGCAGAGATTCTTTGAGATATAGGGGGTGTTTGGTAATAAAGATTTTTTTGAACTAAAATTTATAAAAAGATAAAATAGATTAAAATAATTAATAAGATAAAATATCATATTAAATTTATAATTATTTTATTTTTTTTATAAATATTATATTAAATTACAAAAAAAACCAAATTGTCTTTTTAAATATAAAATTTTTAACCTATTAAAATAATTAAAAATTAAAATAATCTAATAAAATAGTAACTTTCTAAACATCTTGTGTGAGTGATTTTTTGACCACACTGCCCGCTTAGTAACCAGCTGGAGAGCACTAGCAGAATAGATGGCACCTGACTGAACTACAATAGAAATATAAGAATCCCGCAGTGGTTTCGACCACCCGGGAGCACTCCGACGATTAAGTCAGTATATCTCTCAAAGATAAATCAAGTACTAAACTCACAAGCTTGAGTATCAAAAGCATACCTTAGACCCATGGGGGTGCCTCTCTTTTATAGCCAATACAATCCTAGTCCCAATAGGAGCCTGGCCCTAATGGACTTAGGATTACTGCTAATCTGGGACTCCCAGTGGGATAAGGATAAACTCTCTAAGAGTCTTATCTTTACCCAAACTGAAGTTTTCTCCCAATCTAGGACTTTTGTCCATATCCAAGTTGAGTTCCCTCTTCATTCTAGGACTTTTGTCCCTTATCCGCTTATCTCGAATTTTGATATCTTCGGAGGCAACCTCGACCTAGCCAAGATGACCTCGGCACAACGACCAAGACACGTGGCACCTCGGCTGACACGTCGGCGTCACCTTGCCACGTGTTGGTACTCAGAAAATATATCCCCACAACTGCCCCCTAGGTTCTATTACCTCGACATTCTGAGGCAATGGAACCTACACTGTTCGTTTATCTATGCCCCTCTGTCCGAGATCAAACTTGCCGACCTCAAAGTTCCCTAGACTTTACTGTCCACTTCTGTTAAGTATCAAGCTTCATGCTTTCCAAGCTGCTCGAGATCACACCTCCTAACCGAGGTTCCGGTTCCATTAATTCGTAAACTCCAAGAGCTTTTCTAGGACTCTTGTCCCTTATCCGCTTATCTCGGATTCCGATATCTTCGGAGATAACCTCGGCCTTGCCGAGATCACCTCGGCGTCACGACCAGGACACGTGGCACCTCGGCTGACACATCGGCGTCACCTTGCCACGTGTTGGTACTCAGAAAATATATCCCCACAACTGCCCCCTAGGTTTTATTACCTCGACATTCTGAGGTAATGGAACCTACACTGTTCGTTTATCTATGCCCCTCTGTCCGAGATCAAACTCGCCGACCTCAAAGTTCCCTAGACTTTACTGTCCACTTCTGTTAAGTATCAAGCTTCATGCTTTCCAAGCTGCTCGAGATCACACCTCCTAACCGAGGTTCCGGTTTCATTAATTCGTAAACTCCAAGAGCTTTGCAACTGCTCCACTCACACTCTCTGGTGAGTTCCCGATTTCCAGTCATCTATTTGACTCCGACGATTTTCATATCGGCGTTCATTTGGTAAGTTCATAAATTCTTACTTTTTTATTAAGCTCAATCTTTCATAACTCTTCTGATTTGCTTTGAATCTATTTATTTACCATCTGTGGCCTTCTGTTCTCGTCTGTCTTCAAGTTTTTTATTTATTGCTAAAATGTCTGGAACTGTTCTTGTCATATCCGCTTTCTGTTGCTAGTATCATGTCTGGTTCATTACTTTCTTGTTCTTCACATACTTACTTAGTGCCTGTGTACTTGGCTTTATTCTTTGAACTTTGTCATCTTCTCGACTTCTGTTTATTCATTCAATCCTCTGGCTTTTTCTCTTTCTAGCTCTTTTGCTTAAATCCGTCATTGTTCCAAGCTTTCAAGCTTCTGCAACTGTTTTCGTTCCTCTCCTCCGGTGAAGCTTACGTCATTCTGTCATTGTCGTCAGACTTTGGCAATTCTCATTCCAGCTTCCCTTTTTCTGGTAAGCCACTGTTCCTCCTGGTTTTATTTCTTGTTGCTTTCCAAGAAGCTCTGCTTCATTGTTAATCACCATTGCTGTTTTACCCGTTGTTTCCAAATCATCTTCTTGAATACACACTGTTCACACATCTGTTGATTTCTGCCACTGTTCTTGGCTTGACACACTTGTGCAATCTTTTTGTCCTGATTTCCTGATAGCTTCATCACCATTCTTGATTACGAATTAGATTCTTGTTTCTGTTTTCTGTGTCTTTTTCCAGATTCTTGCTTTCGTTTCTGTTTTCTGCATAGTCTTAGAAGCACGTCCTTTCTTGAACTTGTTGCCGAGATAATGGTAAAGAAGCTCTTCCCAGCTGACTGCCACGGTCAACCGTTGAAGTAGATTAGTCCGACGTTCTTGCCTTAGTCCCTAGTTCTTAGGGTCTTCATCTCTGTACTTTTGTTTTCTTTGCATATGTAACCTTTTTTGCTTCTGAAAAATGTCTGCTGTTGGCCGATGTTAACATTCCTTGCTCCTTGATTATCATTTCTTCTTCCACTGTATTTGATAGCCATGTCGGGTAATTAACTTCTCGGATGGCCCTGGGCTCCAGAACTCTGTTTACTTCTTCCTCTATTGCTTCGACGTGCATCAACGTCGGTCCTCTTGCTCGTTGGATTACAGGTTTGGCCAACTTGTTGACGTTCAATTTGTGGTATGTGACCTCGGGGTTAATGCCAGGCATTTCATAAGGTGTCCAGGCGAACACCTTTATATTTTCTCTCAGAAAAGTTTCCAGTTTTCTTTATTCTTCTTCGGCTAAGCCCGAGCCGATAAGAAAGAAGCGTTCTTCATCATCCTCCTGGACAAGGACTTTCTTTAATGCTTCTTCACTCTTCTCGGCTGGTTTCTTGCCAACATCATCTAGGACCTTCATGTCCTCGTCTTCAATTTCTGTCTTCTCCGATTTTTGA